TACTTGTTTTAATATCACTGCGGCTTCGATTTCAGTAAAATCAAGTCCTGCTAACTGACCTAACAAGTAGTTTGCATCGTAGCATCCGCCCGTTTTCCACAGCATAAAGTGACAAGGATAATTGGATCCAAATCGGTTTCTGTTTATTCTGATAGATTTCCTTCACGATTTTCTTGATTTGTTTCCAAAACGCTGATTTTGCTGATGTTATTTTCATGCAATACCTTTTAGATGGAGCTATGGAGTTGTGCTTCATGAGATTTTCACTAAAGGTAACACTTCAGTTCATGTCTAATATACCATAAATTGAAAGAGGCATATCGATGATAAAGTATGATTGCTTACTTTCACAACTAATTTTAACTGATAAAACTGCGTAGAATGAAGAAGTCAAGCTAAAACAACGTACTTACATTTATTATACGACCTGTGCAGCCCCCTTAGCGCCTCTACTGGAACACATGTTTAAAAAAGTTTAAATCGTTCAAATTTTGTTATTTTTTTTGGAGCATCACCATATCCACGGATGAATGGCAGGAAAATTGCAAAGTTACTTCAGCAGGACACCAGAATGCCCAACCCGCAACACTTGGATGAGAAGTTGTAGGATGTTCATTTCCTTTCTTTCGATAAAGATTTCCTTACGACACTGTCGAAAATATGCGATATCAAAGTTGAATGTTTCTTGAGAACAAAAATCATATTTCTTATTATTTTTCTCTGTTTATTTGTTTCTTCAACGTTTTACAATTCATAAATACCAGGTACCAGATCATGATGAGATGCTGGCAAAATAATCCGAATGCTAGACCAGCATTCACCGAATTGAGAAATCAGCTTAAGGACATGGAAACCCAACACAAGGCGAGACTAGTGATAATCATAACAAAATTGATCGTCACCATGGATGGATTAAGGCTTAACCACTTACCCTTTTGTAAATCAAAAGTTTACATTCAAGGACCGTCTGTATTAATGTGACAAGACAAATCGTTTTAACAATTGAGTTTTCATGTAAATTGGCTTCCTCAAAGTGTGTCATAGCGAATGACGAGGGCATGGGCTCGAAACTCTTTACGGTGGCCAATTTGCATTATCAACTCAGTTGATACAAACCAATTATTTCTTCATACTCCCTTTCCCCCCAGCTGATGGAGCATCACAATTTCCTTAGAAGTCTACTCCTTTATTCACTTGTATAAATGTCACCTGATTAATATTTAACCGATTGACTCGTTTTTGGTTCCGAAACCAACATCCCTCGAAGCGGACACGGGTGATTAGTTCTCGTGTACCACTGATAATTTTTATTACGAGATACGACCTCCACATTTAGCAAATTTCATGAGCTGGGTAAATCAGTTTACCAAAATAATACGCAGGAGCACAAAATCAATTTGATAGTTACGTGATTTTGTTTCCTTTTTTTTTCCCACAGGGGCAGACAAACATGAAAATGTGCGACAAGCAATTGTGCGCAAACGTTCACTGCGGATTTAAACTTGTACACTTGATGTCATCAATCTCTGGTTTATTGTCTTACGCAGTTTTTGCTGTAAACGTGTAGCTTCTTACTCGCAATTGGCTTGAAATTCAAACTTGTTTACATAAAGCTGAACTTGAAGAGTCACACTGATGGATCCATTAAATTACGAAGTAAAATGTATAAGAATTCTCGAACTCATATTAAATCTCTCTGATGATAACGAAGCTTTAAATTTCTCTATTGTGTAAATTTTTCCCATCGGTTCAACTTAATCAATTTATAATGGAATTTTTTTTTATGACAAAAACATTCATCCACCAAACTTTAAAATGTAACGAAAGGGAACGGTAGAGAAGGTAATGCTTGTGACTCTCAAGTGCGTTATATTCCAGCCCATAATGTTAATAACAATCATTAAATGCGGGTTCTGGAAAACCAATTTATAAGTGTTTCGTAATCGAATATACCTACACATACATAATAGGTTGTAAAATATGAGCAGCAGAAGCTATGGATCTACGGAAAGTACAGCAAACGGTTTTGTACGTTGGTCTAAAGAATGAAGATATCACAGAGTGCCACAGTCTGCCAACTTAGGGTCACATACAATTTGGGATATAAAAGGCCAATTGTCTAAAGAATAGAGTATAATTGGGAAGGGGTTCTGAGAGGCCAGCGGCACATACCCAAAAATTGACCCATGTACCCCTCGTTCATTTTATGTATCCCTTTTTTCTTATAGAAATCTCTAAAAATTCGCTAAAGAAATTTAAATTAGATTTAGAAATCACGGAATGTTTAAGACTAAACTTATCGATTGCTTATTCGTGCAATACAACGAGTGAAACAACCAGTAATAAGTGCTTTCACTGACGATTACATTATGATTGCTACAATTTTTCTCTTCTATCGCAACTATACTTGTGCATTATATGTTCTCTAAGCCTCAGAATAAAGTATAATTTTCATAAATTCAAAGAAACGTAGTAGTTTGAAGATCCGCAGGGTTTAAATTCGGAGAAATGGAAGCTCACAGGAAGCTTTAAAATTATGATTTTCTAGAAATGTCGCTTAGTGCCTCAACCTTTCTGCTCAGTTTGTCTCCCACAGTCTCTGCTGGGAACTTTTTCAAAACTCCTGCGAGTATGTTAAATTTCTCTTAGCTCTGCCTCTTCAAACAATGCGGCACACGAGCGATGTGTTAAAACCACACATTCGTAAAATATACGAATTACCGCGAGTTTTAAAACTGACCTAGGTGCATCAGCTGGTTTATGCAACATTTGTCCGCGGGAACAAAATCCCACAATCCTACCAACCTATCTGTGTAATTTGTAATCCAGGAATGAAGCCAGCCTTACTTCCAAGAAAAATCGCACGAGTGGCATCTAAGGACGATGGTCAATAATTTTACAAGAAAAATCAAGCGAGTGCGAAAATATTGTTCCGTTGGGCTAAACAAAGCAATTGCCTTTTCATACAAATCAACCTCACGAGCGTGGGACAAAGAAAAATTCTGAGTTCCCATGAGGAATCGAACCTCAGACCTTCGGATTTGCGGGGTCTATTACGAAGTTCTAATGACAAGCGTCCCGCATACTGCTAGGATCGGCAATGTCGATAGCGTAATGCGACCCCGCTCACCGAAGAGTCTTTGTGGCTCAGTTGTAGAGCATCGGAGCGCAGATCCGCAGGTCTGAGTCTCGATTCCTCATGGGGACTCAGAAGTTTTCGACGAAAAAACATCTTTCTCAATTCTTCACCGAGCTTTTTGAACCCGCGGTTTAACCATGTTTAGATGGTGTTTATTAACAAAAATAAGTCTTTCGCCATGTACTATCAATTTCATCACGAAATTTTAACTTTCCTTTTTAAATGGTGTACATTGGGCTTGTTATTCGATAAAAACAAAGAAAAAGAATTTAAAAAAATGAAAGGGCTCACACGGTTTGTATTAATTCTATTGATTATAATTATCCCTCAACCTAGTTACAGATTGCTCGGATTCTGATTCCACTGTTTCACTTGGAATATTTGACACTAACGGTCATACTATGGTGTCGTCCTTCTTAAACGTGCATCTCTTGAGCCTTGTATTTCTATGAAACAAAGTTAAAATTTTCGGCACAAAATTCAAGCGATTCTAGCACTCGATCGAGAAGTGGAAGGAATTTAACAATAATAATAGCAGACCTGTAATCTCACAGAATTTCGGTTATCCGCGCTGCACAATTTTCACTGTTTCATTCAACACTCCTGTCACGTTTTTTAAAAGACGTTCTCCCTTCTCCCTCTTCATGCTGGTTCTTCCGTTTGCCTTTTTTTTCCTGCCTTTTACCTCCTCCCTATCATTTTTTGGCCGTTTTTCTTTCCTCCATATACCGTTCCTTTCCCTTCATCAAGCATATTCGAAAAGAGGTAGCTAATAGGTGGCATGTAGCTGCTATAATTACTAAGTTATTCTGGAGAAAAAGCCTGGTTTTTTTTTTTTAACATTTTGATTAACAAATAGAGAAGCCTTGTCTGTGCTCTGTTAAAGAAATAAAAAACGCGCCGGGGAACGCGCTGGAATTTTTAAGAACACAAGAGAAGTGCGGAGAAAAATTCCCAAGTGAACAACAGAGTCGTCAGCATGCTCATAAATCACGCTACAATAAGCCAATCAGAATCCCTGTTAGAATGATTCAAATAATCTGCTTGGCTGTACAATACGAAAGCTGTCAAAATTGTCAAACCATCAAAGTTCAAAAACCATCAAAGGTCACATTCTGCAATTGTTTACAAAGTTGAATAGTTTGGAAGGTCGAATCTAACACTTTTGCTTGAAGTTTTTTAGTTTCTAATACAGAATGTGGAAGTGAAATGTTAGTGAAGTCCGGCCGAACTGCGGCTCATAAAAACACGCAAGTTTTTTCACATGAAAATTAGCAAACAACCTGCTCAAGCAGGGACCGCGCAGCAAGTTTTCGAGTGGGGGGGCTAAAGAAGAATGTGTGAAGGAAAATTTTTTCGTTAAATTATTTTTTGTTTAATTTATTTTTATTCTTGCAAAAAAGTGGGGGGGCTAAAGCCCCCCCCCCAGCCCCTCCCTCTACGCGGTCCCTGTCAAGGCAAGTGTTTTATGAATGAACGACAGCCGAATTCACTGGAACATGACTGGATAATACTATTCGCGTAATAAAGATGATATTTCACTGTAATTTGTCATATTTATTCAACACGGCGAATCATAATTGGCAAAATATGTTGTTTGGTTTTGACTATTAATGATATGGAAGGGATAGTAGGTTACGAATAATTTATTTTATTGTTATTGGACTGTCTAGTTGTATGGCCAAATACTTATACTTATTTATTAATTTATTTAGTCCAGGAAATAACAGGATTTTCTTTATTTAGCATTCCTATTTTATACAATAGAAAGGAAGTCACATTTGGGTTATTTACCATTTCCGGTATGGTAGTAGTGAGGACACTTCATGGCCTATCCTATGACATACTTTGGCTTGATACATAACAAGCTGAGGCCAGTTCACATTTGGCACTGGCTGGAATGCGAATTTTTACTGCATACTTCCTTGTTACTCCGTTGGAAATCGTGGTAAACAGACCTCTGGATGATTACAAGTTATGAAGTCGTTTTCAGTGATGTGGTGTTCGTTCCTGCTCGTTAATGTCCAGTTTCTCATCTGGAAAGTAGGTGAGTATCTTCTCTTATAATCATAAGAATATTTTTATATCACTTCTAATGATTAAGTCCGTGTCAAGTGAGACGAATTTGTGAATGTTAGCATATCTAGAAATACCAAGTCGTTATTGTAAGATTCTAGTGAACTGAAAGAGTGGGTTTGATTGTGGCGCCGAGAATGACTCATCTTCCAAACTTTACTCTTTTCCTCCCAACCTAAGCTTTCTCGAATTTTCTCATGAATTGCTATTTAAGAGGGGTACTAAACTCTAAGCTGACAAACAATTTCGGTAAAAATTTCCGCTGTGCGGAAACTTTAACACAATTTCTTTTATTTCATAATCAACGAGGAAATTGACAGTAAATTTTTTAGAAGAATTAGGAGCTGGGTGAATAGGGGAATGGATATTTGCTGGTCTGTACTGTTTTTCAGCTTTATCTACTAATGATCCACGATGATATTTTCCATTAGATATTAAAACAAGATACTTGGAAGCTTTCATTTGCGTAAATATGTGGCATGTCAATGTGCTTATACATTTTTCTTTTCTTCTATAGTAATTAAAATTTACCAGACATTTGAGCATTATGCATAGTTTCAGGTGATAAATATGTTGATGTTTGCAGCTTGAGAGAGTAGTTTTTGTGTGTAATAACAGGATTAAACTGAATTGCTTGGCTTTAGACAAGATTTCTCGCTCACAAAAGTCAACCTCTTTTTTGGTTTCTTTTATTTCATTTGTTTTTTCAATTCATTCAGTCTACTAAACATTTATGTAACTAGCCACTACTTTAGAATTTTTATCTCATTTTACCAAAACTGACATACACTACGTTAAACATAACTTACATTACTACACTTACAATTTAAATCACATTACTATAAACTAAAGTGTTACTGATTGACCAGCTGCCAATGTTTACATAGGATAGTTAAATTTAATCAGTCAGCTTATAAACTTGCATTGTTCCCATGATTCTTGTTTTGCATTAGATCATAAACAATTGAAGTAATTCACAATGTTAAATTTTTGCTTTACCTAAATATTTTTTTGCTCGCTGAAAAGGTAGCATTTAAAGCAAAAATGCTAAGTATAAACTGTAGCAAGCCTGGCTGTCATTTATGAATAGTTATTTTTCCACAATGATGGCATCACTCTGGGCACATTCACGACAACTAATTACCACAGTGTCTACACTTGAGTGAGTGAGTGAGTGAGCATTTACATATTGGAGTCGTCATAAAATTTCTTTTTGGCTTCAGGTACCACAAGTTAAAAATGAACAAGGTTGTACATAAACAGGCTAAAGTTGCCTGAGGGGATGCACATGTGAAGAGTGTACCAACAGATAGCTGCTGTAGTGTTTTGCTTTTTGAGTAGCAATTGTCTACAATTAACTGCACATGCATACTGTAAATTGGTTTTTATGTGTCCAGCGGAGAACAAATACATTGTGTCAATGTTGAACTTCATGAGGATGATTTTATTATTGAATATTTTTTTTAAATATTATGTATGTACAATTGTATGTATATGAGTTCATTTTTAATGTCTATTTTGAACTCATCTCTCCTGGCCAATGTTTGTTTGTGTTTGATTGTCACATAATGATATTCCAATGTTCAAACAGATAACCTGGCCTTACTTAATGTTGTATGAACTGGTCACTTTCTTAGTAGATGCAAACATCACATGGACTCTTCCTTTTCCACAACGTGGTCCACTCAGCAATACAGACATCTCAGTTCGAACAACACACAAAGTTTTAGATGGTAGTTCTTCTGAGTTGCATTTGGAATGGGACTTTACCTTATCTGGTGAATCACTTATTCGGGTGTCGTGGAAAAGAGGTGCCAATGACATAATCGGGGCTAAAACTGCATCTGGAGCTGTTACAATATTTCCGGTCTTTCAAGGACTATTTAACATCAGTCCTAATGATCCTGCCACATTGGTAATCTACAACACAACAGCTGCTGATGGAAAGGAAATCACATGCATAGTGACCACTGATGTAAGGGATTGGAGTGATGTAATTAGTGTAGTCATAAAAGGTGAGTATTCATTTTGTAGCTTTACTCTGTCTATGTACATGTATGTATCTTATTCCTCAAGAGAATGTGCATGGTTCATGTTGACTGTATATAGACAAGTAGCAGTGCATCTGTCGGGGTATGAGGAAGAAAACCAAATTGTGTGATTGTTTGGGTAATTGTAGAGGATTACACAACTTTTACATGTGGATGTAGCAACTTTATAACTGAAGACTGACCCTCCAATAGTAACTCTTATCATACCTCATTTGATCACATAATTGTGGAATTCCTTCTTTGTGGGACAAACTTTGTGATATTTTACAGAAGAAGTTTTTTTTCAGATTGCTGTATAGATTTTATATTGGTGATGAATGAGAAAGAAGTAAATCAGATAGTTTGATGCTATTTTATTTTGTTCCACCCAGCCTTGCTATAATTCTCTGGAGTGCTTGAAGTTTATAACCAAAGTCATTACAAGCATCTGTTTCTTTTTAAATCTTTTTTTCCACTATTAGCAAAAATGTCTCCATATTTTGCAATATTGGGCAATCAAGGTTTTATGAAATAATAAGAAAAAATACAAAAACAGTCCTTGGGCCCTCTCTTAAGGACAGGAGATGTTGATGAGTAGTTGAAGCAGTTGATTTAGTTGAATTAGAATTTTATCTATCATTCTCCTTCACACTTGGTGCAGGAACAAGTAAAATTTGGATATCATTTGGATGAAGTGGTGGGGTCAGACATACAATACACAAAAATGGCTCTGAAATACTGCAAAAATGAGTGGACAAAGTGGACAGCAAATTGTATAATCAGTCAATGTTCATCTACTTATCATTTCACAAAAGGTGGTTTGGCAACTTGTTCCATTCCTTGATGATCCACACAAAGAAGTATTTGAAGGAATTCAATTTTTGTGGATTTCATAAATTATGAATCTTAAGTGGATTTGTACAGTAGATCTAGTATTGTTATTACTGTACTTTATATAGTCATGAGAGTTAAGACAACTTAACACAATGACTGCCTTATAACTTTCTATAAAAGGGTATCACTCCCTTCAACACTCAAGTGTGTTCCAACCCAGTAATTTGCATCTCTCTTTATATGACATCTCATGTGGTTTTTGACCAAAGGCTATTTTTGATGCTCCGTGTTTTCAATGGCCACATGTAGTTTCCTTTAATCAAGTAGGGCAACTGTGCAAAACATGCATATTCTAGGAGAGGTCTTACTACTAATCTATAAAGCTTTAAGAAGACTTCTCTGTTTCTACTGCTAACTGTATGCTTTAGTAGGCCCAGCATTTGTTGCCTTTGTTGGCTGACACATCCAAGTGAATTGACCAGGTTGACACAATGACACATAGTTCCTGTAGTTAACTGTACATTTTACAGATGGTACTGATGTTTACTTCTGTCCTGCTTGTGGGTGATTCTCTTAACTTCACATTTTTGGGGTTAAATTTAACTTGCCAACTCCTTGTCCAACTATGTAAAGAGTTCAGGTCCGACTTCAGCACTGATATGTCGTTGTCATAGTTTATTTAGCAAGAAATGCTGTGTTATCTGTGAACGATTTAATTGAAGATGTGACAACATTTGGTATTTCATTTAGTAAATGAAGGACAAGATGGGTCTAAGGATAGACCCTAGGGCTCTCTTGTTTTTTCTAGTGACCAGTTGGAGTAGGCTCCAAAAATCACAACTGTTTGTTATCTGCTCTTCAAAAAGTGTCTAAACCATAACAATTTGGAATTGTCAATGTCATGTCTATTTAGTTTGAGTGGTAAGTGCTCATTAGGTTCACAGTAACTGGTCAAGTTGCCCAAAAGTCATCTGTTCTAACGTAATGTCACCCTAAACCAGAGTCATGTCACCCAAAATTTTTAGCTATGTTTCTTGAAAAGGGCGTGAAATTGCGCCTAATACAGGCGCCAATGCGCCTAAATTTTTCACTTTGGCGACCAAATCCTGAAAGTTAGTCGCCAAATTGGCGACTAGAACGTTTCATCATAACCTTACCAAGAGATATAGTGAATTAAAAAGATTTGCAAAGATAAATCCGCGGCCAACTTCCTCGTTAAGTTTGTTTCCAAAACGTAGCACATGCATCTCGATCGATAACTAGACGCCATCTTGGATTTAGATGAGCCTGAACGTTGTATATCATCCATCCTAGTGTCCACTTTGTAGCACGTTAAAGATCTTTCCCTAACTTAATTTTGGAGGGTCTATCTAGAACGCTGACAGCGTAAAGAAAGATTTTGTTTGTCTTTGAAAATGGCGACCAACTTTTTTTGAATTGCCTACCACTTTTAAGAATTTAGGAGCCAAGTGGCTATCAGAAAAAAAAGTTAATCATTAACATTGATTTCACGCCCTGTTGAAGAAAAAATGATCTACAGAGTCAAACTTACAGACTGTAAGTACGCAATAAAGTTGACATCTTTTCACCCGAGTGGTTTTCATTTCCAACAACACCATGAAGACTTTCATTACACAGAAAACAGTCAGATGCGCAGAGCCGAAATGTGTTTGAAGTTTGGGTCAGTTTGGGTAGATTCACACCTGCCAAAACATTCAGTGATGATCAAAACTCTGCTAAAAAGATGTCAATTGTTGTTCATGATAAGTAACTAAAAAGTCAAGTGAGTAAGTTAGAAACAATTAATGCGCCATTTTTACATGCAACAAAAGAATTGTGAAATATAAGTCAGGATTTTGGCCAACATATTTGCACTAGGGTTAGTTCACTCTAGTTTAGGACTGTGCAAAATTAATATGCTTTCAGATCATGGGTTGAATCAGTGGGGTACTGGGGGCTAAATTCAGTGAATGTCTGAAATATTTACTGACAGATTTCTTGGAATGACTTGAAATTTTCACATGTGATGTATAATATATAAATTTAGCCAAGCCTAAAAGCAGAGCTCTTGTTAGTTTATATTCCAACCCTTCATTATAATAAAAACTGTAATGAAACTCTTCAGGACAGGCTGTAGAAGAGTTTCTTCAAGGGGATTTAGGGACCAGTTTGGGGGATTGGGAGGGGGAAGAAGAATTGACGAGGTCTGGCAAGATCTTCCATAAACTGAACAATTTTTGAGCGAGTAACTGGTTAAAATAGAGGTGATGCAAATTAAAGAGAGATGCCTCACCGAAACATTTTCGTTTCCGTAACGATAAAGGTGATTTAAAAGGCTTCTTAACAAACTTTGAAACATTATTTTTACAAGTATCTGTCACAATCTGACACCTGTCAATTAGAGAGCGCATAAGAAAAAAAAAGCGCAAGAAGATTTGAACAACGGAACTAGTTTGGCTAAGACTGTCACGACAATGTTTTCTTCAAAAACAGTTGATGATCTAACGGAAAGTATTACTCACTCTCATCGACGATTCATTCATGTAGGAAGATTTACCTCTGTTCGTTAAGTAAACGGCGAGGAAAGTAATTGTGAGTAAATTCAAATTTTTTATTTTGAAGTTGTGAGAGTTTGTTCGTTTGTTTGCTGCAATGGCGTGTGTAAATCTGATCTTTCCTCCACAAAAACTAAATTCGAATGGCACACTCCAACGAAACACACAGGGATTTAATGCGGCCTTTTCTCAATAAATTCCTTCAGTTTCTGTTGTGTAATTTACGGCACAAATGTCCAAATTGAACGGACTTGGAAAGAATCACCGAGAGCGTTTATTTGTTGTAGAACTTAAATTAAAACTTCGCTCGCTCTTTCACTACGAACAAATTGTTTGAGAAAATTCAGATATTAAATTAATGAAAGTTCCATCGTTCAGTTTAACTGTAACCAAACACTTCACGTTTTAAGTTTCTATGTACTTTTTGTGAACGATTAAAGTTGATTGCAGACGGTTTTTAGGCCGCCTGTCAACCAACGTAATGACACAATTGCTTATACAAATTCACTCTGAAACCAATATTTTTCTGTCAACCAAAGTGATTTGGGAGAGAGAAAAGAGAGGATTCATAAGTTATTTATCGGCTTGAGGTAGTGACCGACGTGTTTGCTTTAAAATACTGTCCATTCGGAAAAACGAGATATATTTATGAAAAATGGCAACGAAAGTTGGGATGTTTCTTGGCGACTCACGAAAGCGTTACCGTGGCCCGTGGGCAGAGATAGGAAAATACTGACCGGGTAAAGAACCAATCAGATTGCAGGATTCGTTACCGTGCCCTCTCAAAAAAAAAATAATGTGGCATATTTTTCTGTTAATGACACAGTAGTGGAATGATAAAGCTCGTTAATGTTCTGATTGATATGAAGTATCACCAATTATTTATTCGATTGCTTATTGCAATTGGCATTTGGCATTTATTCTTAGACCCGACCACAATTCGAAATGGCACCACGTCATCTAAGAAGTCTTGGATTGGCCAGACAGTGACTTTAAAGTGTCTTTCTGATGGTGTTCCTACACCAACACTCTCTTGGTACAAACCTGACGGAAGTGAAATAAACAGAGTCACAGCCAGAGAAAACAAAGTACAAGTGCTACTCAGGGATGATGAAGATTTTGGTGATTACCTGTGCATTGCTGCCAATGGACTTATTTCATCTTATCAGAAATTAGTAAGGATAAATCAGATAAGTAAGTAAATAAAGATCAGTGTCAGTGTAAGGTCAGCATTTTCTTTTGCCTTTGTTCATTATCACTGTTTCAGGTGCATTAGAAGTAAAAGTCAAATTTTCTTACAAAGCTCTCGATAGACTAACTCATTCACTTTGTACATCTCATTCTGTAGTTAAAATTATAATGCAGTACGTACAGATATTTTGCAAGGCCCATAGGTGTGTGGAAAAATATAAGCGTATGTTCAACTACCGATAAGGGGATTTATCATTCTACTATTCTTTCATTTTCTAACAATTTGACCGCTTAGTTTTCGACATGCATTATACGGTCTTATCTGAACGTTCCTTTCGTATTTTTCCCCTCTTCAGCAACGATAGACCTTCACATATTTTTCGCATTCGTTACCCTAATGAGGTATAACGGCGTAATAGTGGAATAATGCCGGATATAGTTAGCCTAATCTTTTAGTGGAAATGCACCCATATTTGAAAAAGAGATTTACAGTAAACTGTCGACACCTTGCCCTTTGGTAGCGTTAAAGACGTTGCAAAAGAGCGTTGAAC